TTAGCAGATTTGGCAGATTTGGCATATTTAGCATATATGTCATATTCGACAGGTCTGTCAGTTTCTACTGGTTTCAACGTCTGAAATACTCACCATATCAAAAAGGACATTTATCAGAGAAATAAACTTTTGAATCCTTGCATTCTCATCCTTTCAGGTTGCTAAAGATTTCCAAATATTTACAAATACTTTGTCTTTATTGACAGCTAGTTGCACTATTTAACTTAGATGTCCTTCATATGTTGACTTGAGTTTATTTATTATATTAAGAGCAAAATCAACCAACTCTCCGAGTTCTATTTCTGTAATCCTTTTCTTTTTTCATGAAATTTATCTTCATTTTCTTCATATTTCCTTTTCATTGATGAAACACATTGTTCCTTGAGTTCAGAATTAAGCTCCAGTTTAATTTTCAATAATAACTCATATGCGTTTTCGTCTCCTATTATAAAATAAATTACACAAAAAAATTGTTTTTAATAAATATTTAAAATTCTGAATGAATGATATCCATATAAAACTTACCAAAGCAATTGACTAATTTTAATGACAAAGTTGACAGTCTTTAAAGTTTTTCATCACACCACCTTCCTTCAATTTGCATTATTCCGTAAGTATGGTGATTTCTTGCTTCAGTTTTGAATGATTTAAGAATATCTAATGGTTTCAGTTTATATTCTCCATGGAACAGCATTTGATCAGAATTAGGAACCATAAACAAAAAAACTATTTTTTATAATAAAGTTCAAGAGACAAAGTAGATCGACATCTGAGAAGTCAATATTTCACGGAGGGTGACATTTAATTACAAATTCTTTTACAATATTGGAAGGAATATATTCCTGATTTTTTACAAGGAATCTAAAGAGTGCTCTCTTAGCGTGTTCTAGTATTGGTTCAACATACGAACCTTGCTTAGATGGCGAGAACAAGAACTTTTGCGGAATTTGTGAAAATGATGGATAAACTAAAACTTCCCTCTTCTTCTTTTACTTCCCAACTTTGTATATCTATTTCCTGTGATTCTTTATCATTTGTAGGAACTGCTTGTACTTCTTCACTTTCTTACGATTCTTGTAGAGACTGCTTGTTCTTCATCACTTTTCTGCAATTCTTTATTATTTATAGGAACTACTTGTACTTCTTTTACTGTACCATTTGAATTTTGTGTTTGTGTTTGTGTTCTATAAGAAATATTGTACTGTACAACTCTTACTTTCTTGAAAACAGCTCAATTATCTTTATCAATAACTCTTAATCTCTTATTTTTCACTTTTTCAGGAATATTAGCGTTAAGCCACATGTTTACTGATTCGTATTCTTTATATATCGCTTTATCATTTTCATCAGATTTTGTAAGGAAGACTTCAACGCCTCACTATTACATTTTGGAGGTTTTAATGTTATCAAATGTTTGATCGTTTCTTCTAGTGTTTCTTTAACATTACCCTTAAGATTCCTTTTAAGCCACTTTAATAATTTAACCATTGTAAAAATGTAACGCGTAATTCTTATTATTAAAGAATGCGATGAAACAGAAAGAACTTGCTATTAAGTACAAAGTACGAAGTTGAGTTAATGCGTAATTCTTAATTGAACTTATGTGATATCTGTCACGTAATCATAGTAATAATGTTATATATGATTTCCCCTTAAAATGATGATATTTCAATATATAAATATCTCAAAATAGAATATTTTTTCTCACTACTTTTTTCTAGTACTTTTGCAATAATACAAGTTCCCATCCATGAAGCTGAGAACACTCCTTGTGTTTTGGTAGGTGGGATAGACCTCAAAACATTTTCTTGTATTTTGTAGGTGTTGTAAAACTGAGAAACATTTTGTATGTTTCAGTAGGTAGATCTGGGCGGTTTCAGGAGAAGCTGAAAAAGCATATGCAATACATGTTTTGTAGGTGAATAACTGGTCGAAACCAAAAAAATGTGCAATGCATGTTTTATAGGTGGGAATAGACGAAATCAAAACCAAAAAACATGTTTCATAAGTAGAATAGTAGTCGGAAACTTGTATTAACCAAACGTACTCTTGACAAATACACATTCACTCTTCATTCATAAAGGTTATAGTTTAGCAATAATAATATTGATCAAAAATAGCTTTAAAAAAATTATTGCCAACTTCATAGGTCATGCACTAACCTTTTCATTTGGAAGCTTAGAGACTTCTGATTTCTATTATAACTATTTTTCAATCACAGCAGTTATTGCAAAAATCTTAAATTCGATTCTTAAACCAAGAAGGATTCTTGATGCAAAACCTATAAAACAAGGTGAACTTTGCCATTGATTTTTATTTTCTCAACGTTCAATGTTATGAGTTTACCTTTTTTTTCATTTCATTATTAATTTGACATAATATACTGTAAGTATATAATTTCATATCAGAAAATAATTTTATAGAGTTTATTAAAAAGAGTTGGTTTGAATATGAAACTGATGACGAGCCCTCTATATTGAAAAAGCTTATTGAAAAGTTAGTATCACCAAAAACTGCATCAAGTAGTATTGACATGCAACCTCCAATTGCAAACCTAGAAAATCTTACTGAATTGTATGAGGCAATCATCACGGCTAAAGACAAAAATAGAGATACAAATCAAGTAGTTATTACGAGATATTATTTGTTCAGGAAGGAACTTGAAAAAATTTTTGACAGATTTAAAGCAATTATAGAGAACGTAAGGCTTAGAGATTTCTCGTCAAGAAAGTTACAAAACAGCTTTCAGGTGACCTCTCGAAAAATGCCATTGAGTAAAGAATAGAAAGGGAAAGAAAGGTTTATGATTTATTTAATGATATTGTGTATGATACAGTAGCAGTCATAAGTATCCGACCGCCCGAGATCGTCCAAAATTATTATATAACTACCCCTTAAATTTTCCAG